CTGCTGAGGGGCCACAGCCTAGGGGCAGCCTCTAGGCAGCTCTAGGAACTTGCTGTCCCAAAAACCTGGTTTACAAAATTGCAGATGGACAGACCTCATGTGGCCTGAGGACTGCTAGATACTAGTTTAGAAGAAGCTTTTAGTAACTGTGGTGTCAGTGGCCATCCTCCACACCCTCAAAAAAAGCCAAAAGTCTTAGAGATTATTTGTGATCCATAATAAAAGCCAAGCTCCATGTAATCTATCCTTCCTGCACCTGTAGCTACACTACCAAAACATCTTTGGATGATGAATCCAACACTCCAGCCTTGGATCATTTAAATCCCTATCTTCTTCCCCTGAAGAGAGCAACTGTTTATCACTCCAGACAAGAATTTGTACTTCAGCATTTTCTAGCTGCTTTAACAAATTGCAGGCATTGCTAGCCCTGTAAATAGACCAGTATTGGGCCGCATAAGTCAACCTGTCAAGTTGTTTCCCAAACCACAATAAGCTTTTCGTGGCAGTGCTCAACTCTTGCAGACAGAGAAGGCACAGGTTTGGCAGATGGCTCTGAGCAGGCAGCTGAGCATCTGCCCTAGGACAAGTGGTGTCCTGGGTCAGTTATTTGCAAAAAACAAAAACATCCTTCAAGGAGATCAAGATTCTCAATGCCAGAAAAGCCAGTAGCCACAGCAGGCTGAATAATATTAACATTTACTTCTGTTAAGGACCTAAAAGGAGCCCAGTGACAATGGAAAGGACTCTGGGAATGGGCAGAGGTGTCACCTGGTAAGTGCGTCTCCCTGTGCATGGTCTACCTTTGCAGCAACCACCTGCACGCTGCAGATGGATGCAGTGCATCAACTGCAGGTTGGGCAATTATAGATTTTAGTGCCAAGACAGCCATTCCCAGCCAGTCCTGAACTTCTTGTTCATCATGTCAGACTTCAAACATTATACATTCAGCCCTTCATGCAAGCCTTGCTTCCTTTCTCCTTCAGCTGTATTAGCCGTGAGGCATTTTTGGGAAGATCCTCCACACTCATAAGAACTAGGCTGGTTACTGGTGACACAGAGCAGACAAGCTTTGACAAGTGAACAAAAATGTGGAGAAGAATAACCCAACACTGATACTTGTGTCTAGTTTCTTAAAAGAAAACCCTTCCATTTCAGGGCTCACCAAGCACTGTTCATATATTAAAAATCCAAAGGAGAATTAAGCACAGGAAAGGCAATTTCTCTAACTTTCAGGGAATACATGAGCCTGTACAATATAATACAAGTTTAATAAGGCCCATTTGGCATTCCAGTGATTAGTTTTGAGGCAAAGGATATTGTATATTTCAGCCTTTCATATCCATTTGTATCAGCCTCTTTCCAAGGGAATATTCTGAATACTGAAGAAACACAGTCCTCCATCTCCTACTGCTGAAGACAGTTACTTATGTGCTGTGTACCCAGTGCAGCCCCACTGGAGTGTTTTCCAGTTGCTCTATTTTCCAGGGCACCTGTTCCAGAACCGGACAGCCTCACTGTTCAGGGTCACAGCCTTAGCAGCCTATGTCTACACAGCAGAGATCTTAGCAACAGCTTTTTCCTGGTCTCAGATGAGATCCTGAGCCCCTCAGCTCACACTGCAGCTCATGCCCTGGCGTGTTGGTGGGATACTGCCTGCACTAAGCCATGCATGGCTCAAGGATGCTACTTGCCAAGGTGGCCAAAAAATGGACGTCTCCAGGAGACCTCTGTGATAGCAGCCATCTACAGCCTTCCAAGGAAGCTCAGTGACATTAGTCAGCTGTCCCCCAACTGGTGATGGGCATAGTAGACTTATTTAATCCACAGAAGCCATCAGAGTCAAGCACAAGAGATGCTACAGAGACGATCCTGGAGTCCATGAAAGATTTGACCAAGCATTTGACTCACACCTGCAACACAGACTCATCTATGAACAGCATGTGGTACACTTCCAGCCCAGTTTATTTCAGATAAAGTGCTCAAACACTGATTTACCTAGGCAGAGAGGCAGACTCAAAGATCTAAGGAAAGGAAATAAACAGGACTTCACACTCGAGCACCAGAAAAACAAATCCACAACTTTTAATTAAGAAGCAAATAAATTAGCAGAGAGGAAGTACAAGTGTTGCAGATAGTTAAAAATACACTGAAAGCATGTTAAAGCCAAGCTTCGTCGGCTACCTTTTCAAGACAATTAGCATGTTAATTCATGGCCAAGAATTATACTGCATCACACAGCTTATTTAGAGGAAAACTAAACAAGACTCAGTATAGCTGACCCTCCCCTTCAAAGCATAACGTGCAAATGGACATTTTGAGTTACCTATTTGGCTGAGGAGCTGACACTGGAGGCGTAACGAAGCCAGATTAGATGAACAGACCAATTCTAGGATACTTGTGATACTTGCCTCCCATGCAAGAGCAGGGGTTTGCACAGCAAGCTGCTACATCAAATGTGACATCTGTAAAACCCCTTCAGCAACACAAGTTATTCTGCTTCGGAGGTTTACTCAGATGCCCCAGCTGCAGTGCACAAGTTCTCTTTGCTTCCAGCTTTGTTGTTAGTGGTACTAGTGAGTGAATAATTTGTTGGAGAATGATGAATTTATAGGACACAGGGTAACAGTTTCAAACTGAAAGAGAGTAGATTCAGATTAGACATTAGGGAGAAATTATTTACTTTGAGAGTTGTGAGACACTGGCACAGGTTGCCCAGGGAAGCTGTGGATGCCCCTTCCCTGGCAGTGTTCAAGGCCAGGTTGGATGAGGCTTTGAGCAGCCTGGGCTGGTGGCAGCATCAGGTACACAGTTGTATAGCAGTTTGCTCATGCCCCAGGAGATTACTTAATAATCTCTTGTTATCTGCTGTAAAGAATGCCTCTGACTGGAGGTCAACAACACATTTAACAGAGACATGCGACAACAACATTTATTTCAGCCCCATTCTGCATAGCAAATAAACAAATTTGTTATGACATTTATCTCATGGTAGACCTGCATTTACACACAGCACTGAACTTGGCCTTCAGTCACAACTGTCAGAGCTGTATGCGGATTAAAGCGCCCTAACCATGAAGGCAGACTCAGCTGTCCTAGACCAGCCAACAATTTCAGATTTAATTTAGCAAGACTTCTTAGCTCTAGACAAGAGAAAGAGAACTGCTCTACAACATCACATCGGTGTGCCCAGGGAAGGAGTGTAGGAGCTCTAAAAGAAGAGCTTGGTCATAAGCAAGCCCCAAACCTCTACT